TAGTATTTAGAACATTTTTGGCTTATAAACTAAAATTTTAATTTTTTTGGAGTTTCCTCCCTTTCTATTGCAAAGATTCCATATAGTCTGACGTGATCCTTACACATTATTTGCAATTGAGTTCATCATCAAAATTCTTTAATTAAATTATTCATAATCTCATCTTTCAAGTTTTTATACTTGATAGATTTATCTAAATCCAACATGTAAATTTAGTAAAGTTAAGAGTTAAGCGGATCTAAATATCTTAACCGCAGTAGAACGCAGTTAGAAATTTTGAGTAAAGACTTGATAACGTGATCATTCCAAGTTGAAGAATTCCACAGTGATAATATTAATTTAAATATTTAATATTATATATTTATAAAAATATTTAAAATTAAAATTATAATTAAATTTAAATAAAAATTTTTATTATTTAAAGATAGATTTTAATAGATATATTAATTTTAATGTAATAAAATTTTAAATGAACATTTTATAAAAAATATTTTTTTTTTAGAAATTTTTTTCTTTATATTATAAAGTATTTAAATAGTTAAATTTAATAATTTAAAAATTTAATATTATTATTATATATTTAAATATTAACATAAAAATATCTATAAAATTTAATTATAGGTCTTATATATATTCTTTATATTATTTATATTCAGTTTTTATTTTAATAATTAATTTTTATATTGATAGAATTTACTATATTATTTAAAATCTTAATAAAACAGGTTATTTATTTTAAGATTATTAATTACGATGGATTAAAGCCTGATTAATGTTCTGTTTTAACAACTTTTTAAAACATTCTTGATTTTTTGATTACTAATTATCAAAGTAGAACATAAGATGACTCAGACTTCGTTATATAAGTTGGTTCAAGAAATTTATAAATCGCTACATGATGATGAGATATAGTACTATTTCATTAAGATAATGTGCCAAATTAACAATATTGCATAATCTCGCATTTGATTCAAACTTTTTTTTTTTTGAAAAAAAAATCGTTGGATTGATTAATTTTCATAAAATGCAAAGAAATAATGCATGTTACTGGTAAAAGATTAGTTCTAACCTCGGCTTTCGGATAAAAGAATTCCACATGTATTATTCCTCGCAACTATTTAAAGAACAACGACTAATGTACCATGCAATAAGGCAACGTTGTTCACAACAATGAAAACTATCAATATGAGGATTTTTGCATTTTTGTTTAGAGAGACTCCAATATCAAATTTAAGAAGTGTTCGTGAAAATATGTATTTTATGAAACGTTTTTACAGTTCAATAAGCGCAACTAAGTCAGGTAGGATTTATTTTTATTTGTAAATATATAAGGCTACCATGGATATTGGCTACTTGTGAGAAATCCACGGCGACTCATTAAGAAATCGTTTTATAAAAATATGATCATTAATTTTTTATATATTTTAAATCGGTTAGGTCGAACGAAAGTTACAATAAATACCATAGAAAAATTGTACAAGGACAAAGAGGCAATCACTATGCTCACCGCTTATGATTATCCTTCAGGATTATTTGTCGAAAAAGCAGGAATTGATATTTGTCTTGTAGGCGATTCATTGGGAATGGTAGCATTAGGTTATCAAAATACTTCACGGAATACCATGGAGGTATTTTAAGATTCCTTTTCTCCGTACTCAATTTTGAATTTAATTTGCTTTATTTATAATTTATAATTTTTATTATTTTTTTTTTTTTTTTACAAAAAGGAAATGCTTCATCATTGTCGAGCCGTTGCCAGAGGTGCAAAATCACCTTTCTTGGTCGGTGATATGCCATTTGGAAGTTACGAGACGAGTCCTACGGATGCATTGAAAAATGCTATTCGCTTTATTAAAGAAGGAGATATGGAGGTACTATCTAAAGATATGACGAATTGAACTTGTAAAGCATTTACTTACGAATATACTATTATTGATTAGAGTGTCAAGTTAGAAGGTGGATCAGAAATGTTGGAAACAATTCGAAAAATCACACGTGTAGGAATTCCTGTAATCGGTCACGTTGGTTTGACTCCACAACGACAAGCTTCTTTGGGTGGATTTCGGGTTCAAGGAAAGACCGTTGAAAATGTAAAATACTTTTTAAAAATATATCACGATTGTACCCCGTATGCTCTTACAAACCTTTTAGCCACTTTTTAAATTTTTTTTTTAATTATAACCTAGGCCAAAAAACTTATAGATGATGCGAAAGCCCTTCAGGAAGCTGGCTGTTTTGCTATAGTGATTGAAGCGGTATCTGAACCTGTTGCAAATTATGTGACGAAAAGGTTAAGTATACCAACCATAGGTATTGGTGCGGGTGCTGGCACGAGCGGTCAGGTTCTAGTTCAACAAGACATGTTAGGTTGCTTTGATCGTTTTGTCCCTCGGTGAGTTATAAAGAAAGACTGCACATTTTGCATGATTAATAGTTATAATAATGAATTATAAATTATCTCATTAGGTTTTGCAAACAATATGCCAATCTTGATAAAGTTATAATTGATGCCATCCAAACCTATAATAAAGAAGTAAAAACCGGAATATTTCCTACCGCAGAACATAGTTATCCAATGGCAAAAGGAGAATACGAAAAATTTTTACAATTTATCAATGAGATCGAAAAGAATTCCGATAAATAAAATTATAGAAATTATTTCCTCATTAACAAATTTATTAATTTATTTATTTAAATATATAAAATAAAATAAAATAAAATTTTCATTTCAACAATGATTAGTTTTTCCAAGTCCAAAATTTGACTTTGTGAAGTAAATTTTTTAATGTTTGTTATTTTACCCCAAACATCCCTCTTAAATAACCAATTTGTTCATTATCAGTTGGTGAAGCTACATTAGTCGTCTAGTTCCTGTACTTTCTCCCATTCACCTTTCAAATTTTCTTGCCATAATGTCACTTTATTGTCACCAGAGGCCACAGCCAAGATTGTACCTGACGTAGACCAACTAACTGACCAAACTACATCAAGGAATTTGTCAGTTTTAAGTAGTATTTTGACCCATGGAGAAGTTGGGCTATTCTTTTTCCAGACAATAACAGTCTTGTCCTGTTAATAACAAAATTTATTAACTTTCTTAGTTTTAAGAAAAAAAAAGAGAAGTCAATAAATCTTTTCGTACCTGAGAACAACTGGCCAAGTAATTTTGCGGAAGTCCGAAATTTGGAGCCCATGATACGTCACGTACCCAATCTGTGTGACCTTCCAGAATCTCCTCCTCCTTCCATCCATCTTCGCTATTAAAAGTTGTAGAGTTCATTACCTTCTGATTGTATGTAGATTAATATATGACAAATTTACATATGTAAGTAATTACCCGTAAGCCCAAATTTTTACTAGATTATCACATCCGCATGAAGCGAATCTTTTAGAAACGTTAACGTTTGGTGCACCTCCAGTAACTTGAACAAGGGCACCTGGTATTGTAGCTGGTGCCCAAGATACACTGTTTGCCCCAATCGTATGTGCATCAAGAACCGTTGCATCCCACGATCCATCATCTATAAAATATCAAAAATCAGAAAAATATTAAAGTGTAGTTCTGAATAAAAAGCAATTAAATACCTTTAAAAGAAAGAACGGATACTTTTCCGTCTGAAGAAGCACAAGCTAAAATTGGACCAAGCTCATGTGGTCCCCATGCCACAGAATTTACTATAAAATAATAAAAAAAGTGTGAATAAAATAATTTTAAGAAAATTATTAAAGTTCCAAATCTTTTTTCTTTTTTACATTTGATGATATACCAGATGCTGTGTGCAGTGAATGTTCTTTGATTTTTTTCCACGAGCCAGCACCATGATCCTTCCAGATAAAAACTTTACCGTCATAAGAGCATGATGCTAATATAACACCAAATTTTGGATGAGCCCAATCTACACGCCACACAGGACCTTCATGTCTAAAATTAAGTAATCCGTGAAATTAAAATCGCGAATTGATCCTATCAATTCAATGAAGAATTGAAAAATTGATGACTCACCCTTTCAACGTTTCAACCTCTCGTCGCTCTTCACCATCAAGATCAAATATCTTAATGGTACGATCCGAGGAACAAGTAGCTAATTTTAATCCGTAATAGTCTAGTTGTGCATCATGCTAAAGTTTTTTATTTTTTTGTTCAAAAGGTAAAGAATTGTCAATTAAGTGTAAGATCTTTGTAAAAACTATTTAACAAAGATTTAATACTCGCCACCATATCCTCATGGTGTGTTTCAAGGCCTTGATGAAGGTAATTTTTCGACTTTTCAAGAGACATTATTATATATGTTTATATATGTTTATATATGTTTATATATGAAAGGTTCTAAATTGCGACTGAATTAACAAAGATCTTTTGTTAAAAGAACTTCGGTAGCTTAAAAAAAAATTTTCCACCAAAAAAGGATTCTCGTCAAAATTTACACGATACGAGCATTGATTGGCTGAAAAAACTTTACTACCTTCCCATTTTAGGAAATCCTGTCATAAATCAAACAAATCCTTAATTTTTCCGTGAATCATTTAATATAACTCGTTTTTGCTTAACATACAAATGTCGGACGAAATTGGACCGCAAATTCCAATACATTTACTTTCTAAAGTTGGCATTATTAATAATGAAGAAGATAATGCATCTCCAGAAATTAGGCCACCATTAGGTAGTGACTTGACTGAGTTTCGGCATAATAAAACTTTAGATCAAGATTCTGAAGCTACTGAGAGTGCTACAATTGGTCCAAGGATCCCTCAAGAAAGAGTACAAATCGGTCCACAAATACCTTCTTCGTCAATAGGAAAACACAAAATGAATGGTGAAGATAACGATCGTAAGTTACGGAATTCATTGCCTGTTAATTCAGAAGGAACTTCTAGTCACAAAAAACGTGTTATTGGTCCTGCTATGATGCCTCCTCCTGAATATAGCAATTACCAAGAATATGAAGAAGAGGAAGAAATAGTAGGGCCAGTATTGCCAAAGGATTTTAAAGAGGGAAATAATGATGATGGTTTATTAAGAACAATCCAAGAGTTCGAAGAACGAGCAGAAAGAATGCGTAAAACTCTTGAAGTAAGTTTTTGAGTTCTATATTTATTTATATTAATAAATACTAATTCTTTTAATTTATAGTCAAACGATCAAGATAAGCCATTACAACGTGGAGAATGGATGCTCGTACCACCAGAAGCAAAATTTCTGGGAGGTCAGTTCACACATATATATATATACATATCTTTTCTCACTTTGCTCTTTTCACAATCATTAACTTTAATTGTTTGTAGAAACCCCAACCAATATGCGATCACGTCAATTCAAAAAGAGAGCACATAATCCAAACGATAATGATAATTCGCTTTGGACAGAGACCCCTGCTGAAAGAGAAGAAAGACTGAAAAAACAGGTATAGTCATTTGGATATATTTTCATTTACTTATAATAACCCTTTTGTTTTTATTTAGGCATCATCTACTCAAAAAAGAAAACTTGTCAAAGACAACGAGGACGACGAACCAATAAAATATTCCCGCGTTGATTTAGAAACATCAGAAAAAGTTAATGAATATAACGTATGTATTGAATTCCAACTTTCTTTATATCCTTATGACCTTACTAACCCTTTTTTTTTATCAGGCTTTATACCGGTCAAAGACTCTTGTAGAAACACATGCAGAAAGCTATGTTAAATCACGTAAATGGAAAGAGGATGATGCCAGTAAACGACCTTTTGATCGTGAAAAAGACGTATTGGGCACTCGTCGTATGGACTTGCGCAAGCGCCAAGAGTTCTTGGACAATGCGAAAGGGTTGAGTTCGAAATTTGGGCACGGTAAACATGGATCATTTTTGTAGTCTATTCATTATCTTGATATTTAATATTAGAAATCATTTTAGGATATATTACAATGTTATATACTTTCAATTATTGAGGATATTTAGAATGATGACATTGTGAATAATTTATTTGTCAAAATAAAAACATTTAATCTTTTCACTCTTTCGAATTATATTTATTCGAGAATAGAAAAGTAGAAGTAAAAGGAATGTTAACCAATTGCGACTTCATCACTAGAATCTTCCAAAAATCCAAAATAACCTCCATGAAATCCTTTAAATTTCTCTTCATCATCAGAACTTTTAAATTCCACATCTTTTCCCTTCGTATTCTTTTTATATTCATTTTTCACTTGTAAATCGACATCATCTCTTTTTGAAATCAAGTATTTTAAGCTTGTAAAAAATCCAGGTGGTTTAAAAGAAAGTAAAATACGCCCATCATTAGTTAAACGAAGTATAGCATTAGCGGCTCGATAAACATCTGGTCGGGATGCCTTTGTATAATATCCTCGTTTAATCGCGAATGCTGTTAAAACAAAAAGAGATTATTATATCATTCCAGTTTAGATGAAATCCTGAAATTAGTCTCTAAATGTCATTTTCTTAACCTTCGCATATATACCAAGCTGACCATTCGTTATTTTGTAATTGCTCTGGAGGATCAAGTTTAAGTAATGATTCTAGAGGAATTCTCTCGGCCTATAACAATTCAGGTTAGCTTAATATCAAATATAAAAAAAAAAATTCATGATATACAGTATATATCATACCATATATTGAATGGTACTATAGGGTTCCCGAACTTGGGAAATCGGATACATTCCCGATAATATCTGCAAAGTTTAATATGATAAGTTTTTACATGTGGAAATTTAAACAAGTAATTTTGGTAATTCAAAAGTGGCGGAACCTGTATTTGTTTGGGTAAAAGACTTGGAAAAACCAATCCTGGAGAATCACAAATACGAACACTCTTTGATAAATGAATTGTTTGAAAATGCTTCGTGTGCCCTAAAATAAAGTAGTCGTGCATATTTTGAATTTGTAAAATAATAAATCAAGTTAATATGAATGTAACCTACCTGGCGTTTTAGAAACACTAACAACTGTTCTACCGAGTATACTATTTATTAGGCTACTCTTCCCAACATTAGGATGTCCTATAATCAATTACAAGTTATTCTCGATTATATATAAATTGCATTCGAAAGATTTCTAGCGTTACGCACCCACAAGTCCTATTGTAATTAACTCGTTATGAGAATATACTTTTGTATCTTGAATATCTACTGTTCTTAACAAATCTTCTTTTTATAATAAATAATAAATAAATGAAATCAAAACTAAATGTTCAAAAAAAAAAAAAAAAAAATAGTATAAATTTCAATTAAGCAAATATACCAATACGTTTAATATGTTTTTCCTCTTCTAAAACCAGTGATTCAATATCATATGTTTCTTCTTGACTTTCATCATTATCGTCCATTTCATCCTCTTCTGTGATATTACTTATATTGTCAAATACTGTTGCGCTTCGATTATACTGTTCCACCAATTCCATCCAACTTACATCTACGCCTTCTTTGACCAATTTCATATTTTCGCATGCAATTAGCAATTCTTTAATTCCTGAAGCAAGATAACGTCTTGTCTTTGGACGTTTCGTTCGTTCCTTTAAAAATGCTAATTTTTCCAAAATAAACATTCGGTTTAATAAGATTGACATACATAAAATATATTACACAATTGTTGTCATGTATAAACCTGTAGAAGTGTCATCGACAAATTTATTATCTCTAGGATAACAACTAAATTTAACAACACCAAGTTCAGGAAATTGTTCTTCAAAATATTTAGTCCATGCATACACTGTATTTTCCGCTACCAAATCCACCTGCGAAAATCAAAAATATTTTAATAATTACGTAAACATTAAACAAAAAAGTATATATACAGTATAATATTTTAAACCTTATTAAATACAAGCAGCATCTTTCGCTTAATGTCTTTAACAACATAATTATATAGTGAAGGTGGAAAATGTAACAGGGGATGTCTAATATCAACCACAATCAATATTATGTCTGAAATTTCAAGAACTCGCCATCTAAGAAAGAATATTTTATTAATTAAGTGAATGCACAAACATACAAAGACAAAGAATGTGGACCATGTATGTTACAATTGACGCCAGACCTGTGATATTATTAAAAAGACTCTAGATTAGACTACTTTCGAAATTGCCATGAACTAAAAAAAAAAAATTGTATTTACATCAAGATTATGCTCAAAAAAACTTAATTCCCCTTTTGGATATCTATCATAGACATCATCTAACCATTGTTGAAAATAATGTTCTTCATTAGCTTCCAATTCTTCCTTTGTCATTTCATAATTCCAAGACGGCCGTTTTGGAAAATCAATGATGGATTTGTAAATATCATTAACGGAAACCTCTAATACAGTCTTTAAAATAGTACATGTGAGGTTTTTTAACTTCATTTCTTTAAACAAATACATTGCCACAAAAATAACTGACGCGTACTGAAGGTAAGCGAGCGAAAGTGTTCATACTCGCTTTACGTTGAGCCTTGATCTCTTTTGATGATAATTTTTCGAAAATTGAATGTAATCTATTGGAATTGAAATGTAATCGTCAAGATTTATCAATATCTTTAAACGAGCAAAAATGTCAAAATTCAAAAATTCAACCTTTTACTTGGGTTATTCAGCTTTCGAGTAGAAGAAGCAGCGATTCGATTATTATCATATAATTGTTCTCTTTTTGATGGACCTTTAACTTGCTTATTTTCTTCGATATGTTTATCTATATCCTCGAATTCTTCATTATCTGAAACTTTAAAGAAATAATTAGATATAGAAGTTTTGATAATATTAGTAAAAATTTGCATAGTAAAACACACCCTCTTTTGTCTTAGAAGCATTTTTCGCTCGTTTTTCAAGTAGCTGCTTTTTCTTTTGTTTTCCACTAAAAGGTTTTTTACGATGACCATTACCCATTTCTTTATGATCATAATTGATATTTTTTTTTTGGATTTTTTTTTGGATTGGTTTTCTACAGGAATATTAGTAATGCTAATTATTATATTCCAATTTTCATATATAATTTTAAATTTGAATTATTAATTAAATATGAAAAAATAGCACATAATTTAGTTGAAAATAAATTAATATAATTAATATTTAAGATATATTATAAAACTTTAAAATAAATATATATTTCTTAATATATATTATGTAATAAATTTTTTTCTTTTTAATTCTTCGATTTTTTTAAACTGTATTGAATTTGTAAGTATATTGATATAAATATAAGATTTTCTTCTAAATAGTATAAATTTTAATAACTAATTTTATATACTACTGTTTTAATAATGAATTTCCACTTTTAACTATTTATTGAATTATTTTGTAATGTGAACGAGTAAATGTGACGCAGCTTATGTGGCGCAAAAGAATGATCAATTTATAGATGACTTATCTAACATGTGTAATATATCAGATATGATCGACATAAACGACATATTAGATATAACAGATATATATTATATAATTGACATGTT